ATTTAAGGCAGAATCTCTCCTTTCATCACTGTAGTTTTCTTCCTTTCTTTGGAGAAAGAAATCTTTCTCATTTGTTTGCTACATACTGAGTTTTCCAGGTGGAGATTCTGAAACCTCGTTCTCTCTGTTGCTATTTCTACTTCACATTCCATCACAGCTCTGCCTCCACTACTGGTTCTTTAACCTGCAGAAAGAGTTCTGTTTACCAATTGTTGCACAAGTGCAGTTGCCGGATTTTGGAAGCATTTGTGTTTCCAGCATCAACATTGTTCAGTCAGTGTTGGATCTTGTGTTCATGTTTTGATGATGCTTTGGTCAGGAGCCAGTTCTCAGATTCTCCTATTGTGGTGTGCATAAGTCAGTCAGTGTGAGCCTTCTAGCTAAGTTTTTGGTAGGTAAGTGAGGACAAAATAAGAAATTGCTATAGATCTATTGCTAGAATAATTACGCACTGATGTTTCTATACTTTCTACAGGACATGCAGGGTATAGGAATTTCTTTACAAGGATCGTGTGTTCTTGCTGTGGATGGAGAGCACACATTGTTATTTACCTTCCACCATGTTCCACTAGTGCTTTTGGAGAAAGTGTCTTTTGTAGCTGGGTCATGGGCCTCACTGCAGATTGTTCGGAAAGGATTATGTCAGTTCCACAGGTCATGTTAAGATAAAAAAATCTATGTGTTAGATATGCCTACAGTGCATGGTTCTAAGCAGACACCAGATTGAATTCATGAAGAGAATTATATATGAGTGTGACTTTACATCACATAAATATACAACTGATCTTGTGCACTACAAATATAGGAGGGAAGTGGGCTTGATTTATGTACTGTGCTCCTTAACATCATAATCTTCACGAAAGTTTGGGGGTCTGATGCTATTCTTTTTTACACAGATTTAGCAAGTAGATTGTAGATAGTTACTAGATTAAGAAATATCCTTTTCAATAATTCAGGTTTCTCATGTAATTCAGAAGTCATTTACTCATTATCTCTTTCTTTCTTGGGTCCAATGCCCTGTTTAAGTGCACATGGTCTCATTGACATTTTTCATTTTAGGATCCACTGATGTTCAAGGACGTGTCCATAGACTTCTCCCAGGAGGAGTGGGAATGCCTAGACTCTGCTCAGAAGACTTTGTACAGGGAGGTGATGTTGGAGAACTATAGCAATCTGTTGTCTGTAGGTGAGGAGATTTTTCTATCAGTACTTTTACTGTTCTCCATCTTTTCATAGACAACGGTCTACTTTGTATAAACATTACCTTTGCTGTGTAGGTCTTGGATTCCTTAAATTAACAAAGTAGAATATTGGGAATATCTGCGCATCATTTCCACTTCTTAGAGCAATTATTTTTTTATTATAGAGCAATTATTATTGTTCATTATTTTTGGGGTTGATTTCAGCTTCCCATTAATACATGATGCTGCAGCCAGAATCTTTAAAGTTCCATTTCCATAGAACTCAGTGTATGAAAAGTGAAAGAATTCGTCTATATTCTAATGAGTCTGTCCTAAAATAGAAACTGAGAAATTATTTGGAGAGTCATCTCTTGTTCTCTGTATTTCCAGTGGAGCACAGTGCTCTGATAGAAATCCCGTGCTTTCTACGGAATCCGGCATGTGTGTGCGCCTCTTTCTCCTATACAGGTCTTTCTCTGTGTAAGCCCGTTCTTGTCTCTTCTCTGGAAGAAAACAAGGAGCCCTGGAATGTGACTAGAAGGGAGACTGTAGCCAACCAGGTAGGACTCAGTGGAGGGGTCCAGGTGCAAGGACCTAAGAAAAGAGGGATTAAGACCTGAAAATTGTATTGCCATAGTCTTTTGCATTAGAGATTCTGATAGTTTTATACTACTTTCATCAAAATGTGTCCTGTGGTAAATGACAAATAACTTCATTTATTGCACATGAACTATGTGGCAATTACTAGTATGCTAATATTACTTCATTTAATTTTTCCTTATCTCCCATGTCACATTTCTTGCTAATGCAAACTAGTAGCTGATTCATTTTCCCGTGAATTCTTCCTGTAACTACTGTTTTTTAAATGTGTATTTTTTCATTGTACATTTCATAAAAAAAACAAAATAAAACAAAAACCTTAATCATCTTTATACCTGCTACTCGATCTATTCTCCCTGTCCAGATCTCATGCATTCTGTGACAGATATTAAGGTCTATCGACTCAAGTTTTTAGCATATCATGAAATTAGTAAATTTTGTGTCTTTTGTTTTGTTCCTCATTTGGAAATGTTTGTGCCATTCTGATTCTTCATGTTTTTTCATTGTTTTATACTTGAGAATGTATTTCTTCTGAAAATGATTGTAAGACTTCAGTGAGAATCAGATAGTATATTTATATAGCATGAAATTCTATATTCTCTGCCCATTTCAAATAAGAATGTGTTAAATATTTGGGACTGTCTACATCTCATTTGGGGATTCTTCTCTTTGCTACCGACTGTTGATGTCTGTGTTCCAGTTTGGTCAGAAAAGACATTGTGGAACATTGACCGGGCATAATATTTAAGACATAATATTTAAGACATCATATTGTCCACTGCAGTTCTTCATTTATTCTTTGATTTTGGAAGTTTGCACATCCTCCTGTGTGTGCGTGCACATCAGTCCTGCTTCTTTGGGATGCATACTTTCTCATGCTGCTCATATACTTCGTCATTCATAGTCTTTCTGACTTCTGAATTCTTCAAAGATAGGATACAGTTCCCAGAGCTGTGGTTTGGAGGATATGTCTTGTTCAGGCACCTTCCTTCTCTCTATAATTTTCGTCAGCCATGAGATGAGATTTCTGATGTCATGACCTTCCCTCTCATGGCTCAGTCTTGCCATTGTCTATTATTCTCTGAGCCCCATGGATACTGGACTGAAAGTTCTAAAGATGGAGCCAAAGTTTAATGTTTTATTTCCTGAATAATTTTTCGCAGCTGTAGTTCAGATGAAAAAGATCCACAATGGACTCTCTGGTAATATAAGAGAAGATAGATAAAATTCAGTTTCAAACTTGAAATAATCTAAAAAGATTGAGATTACCTTAATTTCCAGGTGTGGTGTCACAAGCCTTTAATCTCAGAACTTTGGAGGCAGAAGCTGGTGGATCTTTGTGAGGTAGAGGCCTGCCTGGTCTACATAGTGAGTTCCAGGACAGCCGGGGCTAAAGAGAAACCCCATCTTAAAAAAAAAGGAAAAAAAAAAAAAAGATTGGGAACACAAAGGTCCCTGTGAATGCCCCCATTCAGTACTTGACTCATGTCTCAGTTTTCAGGCTTTCAGCATACATTGGGAAAGCCCTTGACTCCACACTGGATTTCAGGATGATTATAGGACTTTGTGTTTGTTTTTGTTTTTATTTTCTGTGTTTTTGAATGGCATCTTTTTGTAGCCCAAGTAGGCCTGGAACTCACTATGTAGACCAAGCTGGCCTTGTACTCACAGAGATCTGCCTGCCTCTGCAGGCACCACCACCACACCAGACTTTATTACAGATTTAATTTTGAAGTTTACCACTGAAATATTTAAACTCACTGTATTTTATCCCTGTGCCACTTCTGAGTGCCTAAAGTTCATGATCCAATATATTCTCCATTCTTCTTTAAGATATAACCATAAATTCTGAAGTGATGGCTGGGTGTTATGAATTAATACATTTTTTCAAATGACCTTCTCCCTCCATCAATTTTAAGAGATACCTTTTTTGCAAGTCAATTTTAGTTAATATGTGCACTTTCGGTATGATATAGTTATTTTTCATTATTTCATGCTGTTTTTCCTCTGGTCTTTCTTGAGAAGAGATCACATACTATGACAGATTTCCTGCCTTTGTATTTAGTTGGTATTTTTCCCTGAAAGAATTAACTACAGAATTTCTTTTTTTTCTTCTTTTTTCTTAGTGTTCTTTTCATGTGCTTTTGACATATACATAGTGTTGTTTGTACTTATTTCAACTTCCTAAATAACTCTCTTGTGACTGTACATTCATGTATTTTTTATATATTTTCT